CTGATTCAGCCAGAAGAGAACCACTAGAGAGTTGATGCCCCTTGGGGCAGCATTTTAACCACAGGGAAGTGGTGGATGAATGCCTCAGCCTCCTTTCCATTAGGAAGTGGAGCTGAGGGGGTCCAGGGCATGTTCAACATGGGCTCGCAGAGGGGATCCCATGCTGGATGGATCTTCTGTGACCCTCAGTGGTAAACAGCTGAACTGTATGTCATTGATTGATGTTTCCTCTTGCCTGTCTTAGCCTCTCACTTTTGCATCCAGGTTCTTATCTGAGGTATTGCTTTTGGGGTAACCCAAACTAAGAAATTGGCTTTTTATTTTTAATGCCATTGCTAACTTATGCAATATGTTTTAATCAAACAGTTGTAAAATTTTAGGAGAAAAGGAGAACTGATTTTTATCAATTATGTCAAAGTTTTAAAAATTAATTTAGATATTAAAATAAATAAATGTTAATGTCTTAACATTTTAAATTATACTAGAACCTTTATAGTTGACCACCTCCCTTCATTGACTGCCTCCTTAAGTTGACCTAATTTTGATAGATGAGACATGTCCCACATGTACATGTCAGACCAGAGGCCCAGTCCCCTTACGTTGAGCACCTCTGTGTGGTGACTATTTTGTCACAGTCCTGAGTGGTCAGCTTACAGAGGTTGTACTGTATAAAAAAGCTGGACACCTTACAGAATATTAGAAGTAGTTATTTTAGCTGAATGAATCTTTGTGATTAATATTATTTTTCTTTAAAGTGTTTTACACTTAGAGACATTTTTATAAATAACCTATTTTATGCTGGAAGGAAAGATTTTTTTTTCCCTTTAGTCCTTAGGTAGCCGTTGAAAATAATTTAGTGTGATGCTTATTTTAAAGTATTATGGAATTAACAAAGACAATCATTGCATACATATTAATTTCTGATACCTTTGTCATAGGTTTGGAGCTGTTCAGGATGTTTCTGTATATTTCATATGCCCTGTATCCAGAAGTGGGCTAAAGATAGCCAGTTTCTTGTATCCTCTCCTTTGACAGATGATGATTTTGGAAAGAGAGATTATCCCTGGCCTTGGTAACTTTTCTAATTAGTTGGATTATTAAATTGTAGAATAAATGAAAATTGTAGATTGTAAATTGCTTTACTGGTTTCAATCTCCGTGTTGGGCTTTCAGTTAGTCCTTTGATTTGTGATGCCGTGGAACCTTGATAATGGCTTTTTTCTCCTCAGTTTTTATAACTAGTTCTTTTCAATAACTATTTGATAATAAATCAGTCAGATTTTATTTTTTCCTGTGCAAAACAGTTCCCTAATTATCCCTATAAATGACTTTTCTGTAGAACTGAGAGTCGTTCATAATTCTGGAACTTCTCACTTAGGATTGCTGTCAGTGTACATTCGCATCACGATGTACGGGACGGCCGTCTAACATGTTTTGATCATAGGCTTCTTAGTTTCATTCTTGAAATCTCAAAACTGCAGGTGTATATTATCCAGTAGCATTAATTTTTCTACGGGTATTTTATTAGTTTTGTTTTTTATTGATGATTATTTGATCTTGAACTCATATTTCTAGAAAGAGTTGGGGAATAGAAATTCTATATCTCTGCTAAATAAAGACAATAAGAAATTTATCCATACTACCATCCCAGACAGATAGATTCTCTGTCAAGGTAATGAAACATAAGCTTTGGGGTCTCTGTGTGTTCACATTTTATAACTTCTGG